AGTTTTGGTATCTGCATTCAATACAATTCTTTATATAGGCTTTTTGCTGTATGCTTATATGTCTTTTTCCTTGTATATAGCATTTTTTTACTCTTAGATTTCTCTTCTTTGCTTCTTATTTTGTGTCTTGAGTTTTTAAATTCGTCGTCAGTTACAGGAATTAATCAGAGCCAGTCTCCTTCCTTCTTCTAAATTCTTTTAATTGCCTCGTCTCTGCTGAATTCACAATTAAAACCTATTTCGACCCAACTGTTCTCATTGACAAAACTTTCTGTACTAACTTTATGTGTTTGTCTTTGTTTAATATTTCTTCCATATTCATAGTTCTCTTCTTTGAGAAATTTCCTGGAACTTTAAAGACTAAAGCTTTTACTCGGTAAGATTTATCTTCTTACATACTCTGTTGCTTGGTGACCAGATACTTTGCTCAATTGAGTCACCTGCTTCTATGAATTTGGTTTCATCCTCTTGGGCTGCCTTTTCTTGCTATATTCTGGGTTTGGATATTTCTAATACATTTTGAAAAATACTGTCTATAGGAGCTTTTTTGTCTTTTTTGGCTTTTTTTCCTTTAAAGTTTCTTTCCTGAGAGTCTTTTCTTAAGTCTTTTTTACTAGTTTGTATAATTCTCTTTGTTTCTTCGTATTTGTTTTCTGTACTTATATCTATATTTTCTATTTGTTGTAAGCGATTATCTATACAGATATCTTCTTTCGGTAGATTCTTTTTCACGTCTATACCTTGTCTACACTTTTTGAATTCTATTACTATAGTTTCTTCTTTTTCCTCAGTTTTCATACACCTTCTATTTTATCTACTTCCCTTTGGATTTCTTCTTTGCTTATCTCCATCATGTACTTGATGGACTTGGGATTTTGGTTAATCTATCTTGCTCTTTCTGCCCATTTCTTAATTTTATTTTCTAGGTATCCTTTTGCTTCAGCTTTTGAAAGAGCTTCGACAACATAACCATATGCCAGGACTTCTATTGACATAATTTTGCTTTCATCTTCTATTGTTAGTGTTTTGGCTATATATTCGATATTGCTAGAGTTACTAAGTATAACTTGTTTAACAGATTCTTCAAGCAGTTTGTCAAGCATATACTTGGCTGCAATTACAGTTCTGCTTCAAATAAAGTCTAAGAGATTTATCCTCATCATTTTTATAATAAAGCTTAGTTTGTAATACTCTTCTGAAATGAGTTGTTGTAGATTCTATATTTACTATAGTGTGTTTCTAAAAAAATCTATTTCTAATTGTTTCTGTTTATTACACCTATAGTGTTGCTTTGTTGTTGTTAATACTAGCCGTACACATGTTTGTTGTTTTTTGGTTACATATTTTGTTTGTTTATTTTGTTTGTTTTTGTGTTACTGTTAGTGATCTGCATTCAAGGTCAAGTGGTTCGCCCA